GAGAAATAGATGGTTTTACACACAAATTAGAAAACATCTCTTCAACTATCAATACAGTTTAGAAATGTCTTAAATTGATGTCTTCTTTTTCTGTCTGAATGTCTAGGTTTTCTTTAAAAGATAATCCTGATAAACTTGAAAATTTGCTGAATTCTGCTCATTACTTTTATGGCTGGCAAAATTTATGAAACACTGAAAGTTTTATTATTTACCTGCAGAGAATAAAAGGAACAATGTGCAGCAGTCACTCAGCATATCAGGAAGAGTTCGTTTCCAAAGCTCAGTAAACTACCCAGCTATCAAATGAAAATAAAAAGAATTTCACGAGCCATCTACATTTTAGTAGAGAGCTTCATTTGATAGTAGCTGTGAAATTCAATTTACACAACTAAATTCTAAAGATAAAGAGGATCATTTAAGCAAGCAATGGCTCTACTCTACCCATACCATTCATTGTCTGTTTTTCTTAGAATTCTAGATGAAGATCAGAAGATCAGAAATTCATCAATTCAGAACAAAACCACTGTACTTCTAAATAGCATTGCAAACTATAAAATTATGCAATGCTCTTCCAGGGAAAAAAATGACAAAAATGTACATAATTAGCAAAAAATCTGGACTAATTTTAAAGAAGTAGACTGCTATTTTCTATTGACTGTAACCATTCTTAACAAGGTACTAAGAAAGTACCTTGAGAAGTTAATTCCTCAGATGCAGTATGACAAGTAAGGAAAAAAGTTAGGACTAAACGAGATTATGCAAACAATACACAGAAAGCCAAGGAAAAAGAAGAATATGTCCCTAGGAGATTTTGGTACTATGATGGCACCAAGATATAGTATGTATCAGATGTGCCATGTCAGATATATCACTAAAGAGAATGGCAAAGTATGGGCCTTAAATTCTTTCTGTTAAGCTTCCTATATAAGGAATAAGTGCTAAGGAAGGATCTGGAAAAAAGGGAAGAAATAGCTTACTGTATATGCTATGACAAGCTTTTTTTTTTTAAAAAAAAAAGGCATTTCATATATTTTTACTGTACTATAAAGCAGGATCTGATGTTTTGTTTTGTCTTTTTAAATCTCATAGATGACCAAAAGGGGGCATGCGTCCTCTGTTTTGCTTCAAAGTAACCTACCTTCCGATCATTACTCCTTTCAGTTTTTCAAAACTCAGTCATTAATTCCTACTATGAAGAAATGCATGCCAGGATAATGGAGGGCTCCATAGTGAGCAGGTTCATTATTTTTATTGAACCTGTAATCCTCATACAAACTCTTCGAGTGAAATTAAGCTGCTGCTCTATAAATGCACAGTAATGAGTCACACATAGTATTTTTAAAAATGAAATTATTTCAGTGCATCCTAGGGAAAGATTAAAAAGTTGGTATCAATATACTTTTAATTTCTTTTAAAGTCCAGTAAAAAAACAATTTTGCATCTAATAGAATAAAGCAATCACGACTTTTTCCTGTTGCATTCAAAGCACAAAGAAATAAGAAAAAAAAAAACCATGAAAACATGACCAACCTCAAAAACAGAAATGCTACTTACAAAAATGGCTGCTTCTCACTGGCTACCTGGCTTTAAAACTGAGATAATACTCTAGTAGGAAATATAATTCTAGTAACTGACAAGAAAGTTGATTTTCTAAACTTGTTTACAGACTAAAGTAAAGATTCTTAACTCAAAGATGATGTATTCGTGTTTAAGTAGAGGCAGCAGGGCACAGTGGACTGGACTCAGAGGATGGTATGGAATCTCAACCAGTCATTGACCTAGCTATGCGATTGTGGGCAATTCACTTCATCTCAGACCCTAGGTTTCCTCATTGGTCAAAGAAGATATCACAAATCTCCCAAAAGGATTAAAATTCTAAATTCTAACCCAATGTTATAGATGCTAGGGAAAAAATTTAAGTCTCCTTTTAAATCTTAATAAAACCATCTCCCCACTTCAGAGAAGAAAAAAGTCTTATAAAAGTCAACTAATTAAGCATTCATATTTCCAATTTTTCATAGTAGTTTGTTGAACTTTTTGATGCTACTATAAATACACTCAAGTTATCTGAGCATCCTGCTATATAATGAATCAGAAATCCATCTGCCAAATAACCTGTCTACAATCACCTAGATCTGGTCTCACTGCTCCCTTTGTATCTTTCTTACTTATCAATTACAAGTCAGTAAATTCAAGATATGCAATGATACCACAGCATAAAAAAAGGAAAATATGTATTATTCTTTCCTTAAACATAATAAATTGACAGTGACAATTTTAAAGGGGCTTCAAGACAGCAGTTTCCAGATTCTTTTAACAATTTGATGAAAGGAAACAAAAACATGTTTTGGCCTTAAGACCCTTTAAAAAAAGTCAAATATCTAGCTTGTTGCTATGTGATATTCAAGATCTAAATTCATAAATATGACTAGAGTGAGATACTACAGGTGGGAAAGCAGTGGCACTGAGTTTTCTTGGAAACTATAGGAAGTGGCCTCAAAGCTACGTGAGAAATTAGGCCAGTTTGAGCTCCACTTAATTTCTGTCTCCCAACCTTTCCCTTCCTCCTATCCCCCACCTCTTTGCAATGTTTACATGTGATTGGAAATTACAGATACAGAAACTGTCACATATCTCCAGGACACCCCAATGATTACTTTAAACTAACTAATGAAGAAAGACTATAAGTTGCCAATATTTCGGACTATCAGTAGGAGCAATACTATATAAATGAAAGATATTTTATAAATTTCTAATCAAAACAATGGGGAAAACTGGGTCCAGACTGACAAAATCGAGGAAGGAAAGCTCTACTCATTATAAAAATTAAAGGAGATGCCTGTGTTTCAACTTATTTTAAATAGTAAGTATTTTCAATTTAATAACCAAATGTATAGCACTAACTCTCAGCATCACTTTGTTTCTGCAAGCAGAGGTCTAAAAGCAAAACAGTATACTTGGTTAGCTTGGGATCATAATAACCTGTTTAAAACAATCCTTTTAAAAGGGTGGGATTAGATCTGAGACTTTCAAGTTTATATAACTCTACTATTTGATAACTTGGGGAAATCTGTTTCTACAACAGCATATGAAGTCAAGATTCATAAATCCAGCTCTGCCATACAACAATACAAGACCAAAATTCAACAATTCCTCATTTTCCACATTACTAACATTGTGGAGTAAAATTTTGTTTCTAAGATGTGATACACATTTTTATCATCTAGGATAAAATATCTACAGTCTCAGTAGTGGTTAAAATGCAGCTATAAAGGAAATTGTCCTGAGATAAATGGTTTCCCTATGAGAAGGTTTCACTGCTACACTTCACCTCAGGCCAATAAATCAAATTAACTGCACCTTGTCCTCTGTCCAATGACATCATCAGCTTGACCACATCTCTGGAAGCCGGTAGAAAAACATATACTATTTAAGGAATTAAATCATATTACTGCTTTTTGTCCACCCAACCTCACCCTGACAGTATCTGAAGCCGTCATTCACCTGAGCACTCTCATTAAAGCTAGAGATGTATTTCTTTTTATGCAGCATTTAGGGTTTGTCTCTATCAGGAGCAAAATAGGGAAGAAAAAAAAAAAGCATGAACAGGTTTTTTGAAAATTGAATTGCTTTAAGTCAATCAAGTCAGGAATTTTGTTACAAATTAAGGAGACTTATACTTTGATGCTTACTACCAAGCGCTGAATGTAAAGTCTCTTCACTTGTTTCCAAATGTATCAAAAAAAAAAAAAATTCAAACAAAAAACAAGCAAACAACTGAGGCTCCTAAAAGAGGTCTGTTGTCTATTTTCCTCCAATAGTAAATGGATAGTCACTAATGAGAAGCTCTACCATTTTTAGCATATCACTAAAGCTACAAAATAAAATGAAAACCAAAATTTGCCCAGGAAGAAATCTAAATCAAAGTGATTATTATTTCCAAAGAGTAGTTATTCTTTTTTTTTTAAAATAACTCCATTTAAAAAAATCTTGATGAAATCAATTCTGACCATTTTGGAGGAGAAAGGAAGTAGCAGAGTCCTAGTACACCAGGCAGCAAAATATATATATATGTGTTTTTCCCCTAATTTTTGCCCAGATGGCATGTAGCATAAACAACAAAAAAAATTACTCCTATTTTCAAATATTTTCCACATTCAAGTATTAGGTATTTAAGCCGATGATATCGATAACATAAACTTACAAAATTACTCCTTTCAAATTAGAGAGAAAGTAGACAGCCTTGAGAAATTCTTAAAGTGTTCCAATACTACTATTGTGAAATGTCTAAAAATCTTAGGATTTCTCACATCTCCTAGAAAACTTATGTTGATTTTTACAAGTACAAGAAAGACCTTCTAAGGAGTTCAAGTGTTAAATAGAAATAAGTCCCCCAAAACAAACCATATTAAAGGATGAAAAAATTTTACTTGTTCCAACTTCCACTAAAAATGAGAAATTAAGCCATTTTTCTAAAATGGCTAACACTGCTACAAATTACATGAAAACCCCTTTTGAAAAGAAAACAAAACATCCCAGAGCCTCTTGCTTAGCTGTGAGCTGAGCAGTTTTGAAGCTGGTCAAGCCCCAGGGGGGTTTTGTTTTGCCCGCAGGGGGTGGGGTGTGTGGTGTGTGCGTGTATAAGTGGTAGTTGGTGGGGGGAGTCATTTTGGTTATTAGTAAATAAATCAAGCGGCAGAGAATATGAGGCCTAGGCATCTGCTGGAGGAGCCAAGGCCTAGCTCTCCCCCCTTCTCTTCCCAGCACAGCCTGGGTTTGATCTTGGAGCCCTGCGGATTGCCAAGAAGGAAAAAAAAAAAGAATCATATCGAACCACAAAAGCACATGGGGCGAATGTAAAATATAAACACGGCGTTGGGCTGTGAGTGGCTGTTATTAAAGGTCTGAATTACTAAACATGAGAGGCGGGGAAAGCCAGGCGGCCATTTCAATAATATAAACCTCCCCGAATTAGACATTATTCAAATGAGAGAGGTACCGAGAAGGAGAGAGCGGAGAGGACCCGGGGCAGAGCACGAAACCACCACAAAACCAGGGAGGGAAATCCCCTTCCTAGCCACCGGCTCCGAGCCACAGTCCGAGGAAGCTTAAGAGGAGCGGTCAGCAATGTCACCAACTTAGCGAGCGGCCCGTCCCGGGCCGGGGGCTGCCCTGCTTCCCCACCCCCGACTCCGGGGAGGCCGCTGGAGGGCTGCCCGAGGGCCCCCTGGGCCCCCGAGCCAGGAAAGTGAGTCTCTAGAGTAGCCTCCCCCGAAGTGTGCGAAGGCGGCCGGGACCTCCAGGGAAGGACCCAAGAGTCCTTCTCCCAGGATCCCGCGGGTCCCGAGGCCGAGGAATAGCGGGGAGGGGGCGACGACGCAAATCCCTCCGGAGCTCCTGCCCAGGTGGCTCTTCCTGGTTCCACCTTCCACACCCAGGTGAGCCAAACCCACCCCTGCACGGAGACGCTCCACGCACCCCTCCCCCGGTGCCGAGAGCCCCCCGCCGGCCCACACAGCTGCACGGACAACCTCCCAGCCCCAAGAAGAGACCCCCACACCGGGGTCACTCGCGGCAAGGGGGTGGGGGTGGAGGGACGCGGCCGCGGGAGCGTGTAGGTTGGTAGGGGGAAGGAGTAACCTCAGGATTTTAAACCTCAGACCCACGTGCGGCGGGGCGGGCAGGCGGACTGACGTGCGGGGGCTCCCTCCGCCCCCGCCCCCCGCCGCGGGCACCGCTCCCCCCACCGCCCGGCCGGGCGTCCGGCCCGGCGGGGTCCCGGTCCTTCCGCGGCCGCCGCCTCCCCCAGCCCGCAGCATTGTGCGCGCCCGCCCCCTCCCCAGCGACACACCCCCCCCAGGCCGGCGGCGGCGGCGGCCCCCGGCCCCGGCCAGCGCTGCCTCCCGCCACCCGCCCGGCCGATCACTGATGAATATGTAAAATGTCTTTATTGTCCGCACCCGCGGCCCCCGGCGCCGCCGCCGCCGCCGCCGCCGCGGACCGGGCTGCCGGGCCGGGAGGGCCGGGCCGCCGACGAGCGGGGGCCGGAGGAGCCAGGTGGCTTGCCTCCCCCTTTGCCCCTTGTCTTCCCCTCCGCCTGGACGCACGGAGCCGCTTTACCCCTTCGCTCGGCGCCCGGCGGGGGCTACGGGCTCCCCGGCCCCCCATCTCCCCGCCGTTAATTATAATAATCCTGAGTACTAATAAATTATGCTAAGTCGCAGGGGGGGGCAGCGGGAGCCGGGGTTGAGTATGAATATGAATATGTAAAATGCTGTAATGATTACCTGCTGCTGCTGCCGCCGCGGCTGAACTCTCATCTTGACTCGCTGCTCCTCCGTCCGCCATTTTGAATATTTTAACCAAAATCGGCCGGTCGATAAACCCTCCCTCGCTCCCTGCTCCCCTCCCCCCTCCCGCCCTCCATACCTCCTCCCTCTACTTTCTCCTCCTCCTCCCTTCCTCCCCCCTCCCCCCCCGCCCAGCTCTCTCTCTCTCGCTCGCGCTCTCTCTCTCTCTCTCTCTCTCTCTGCTCACACCAGGCGCGCGCCAGGGGGCGCGCGAGGCTGGTGCTCGCACCGCCCCGCCTACGGCCCGGGTGCGCCCCCACCTCCCCCTTACACACACACCCTCACGATTCCGCGCCTGCGCCTCTCCGCCTCGCGCCTCTTCACATTTCCCCTCGCTTCCCTCCCCCCTTCACTTTTTGGGCCCCTGCGTCACTTTCTGTTCGGGGACCTAGAGGGTTTCGGACACACACATGCGCAGTCTTTCCCCTCTCGCCTCTGACTTGTGTATTTCGTGTTCGCTTGCTTTTCTTTTTCACTCTCTTCCCCCTTCCCCTCCCCCCTAAACTCAGGCGACTCCGAAAACATTTGCGTTTGCGCAGTTGGCGTGAGCAGGGCATGAGTTCCCTTGCCCGCCCCAGATTTGGGAGGGAAGTTTGTGGACAAACACGAGGGAATGACGTGCGGAGTGAGGGGCTCACGGGCCATTTTCTCCTTCCCATTAGCGGAACGGGGCCACAGAGTAACCTCGTCGGCCAGCCTGTATGAAATGCATACTGGCCGGCCAGGGGCCGATGGCGGCCGAGACTTCCCTCCCAGGCTCCGAGGCCGCGGGAGTGCGCCCCCGACGCGCCGGTGGCGTGCTCGTGCCCGAGCGCCGCGCGCGCTCCCGGGGTCCCCCCTACTGGCCCGCACCTGTGGCGCCTCAGGTGGCTCATCCCGCTTTAAATTTGAATCCCCAACTTAATCTCCGCCCCCAAACACTCAGCTGACCCAGCCCTGGAGAATTTAGAGACCCACTGGACTGTTGTGGATTTGCTGCGAACGCCCGAGGACGGCCTTTTGCCCACAGTGCCTGTCACACAGTAGGCGCTTAATAAATGCTTGCTGACTGACAGCACCATTTGTTTCTGGCCTAGCCGCGCGCGCTTCCTCAGCTCTCTTCCCAGTCTTCCTCTTCCTTGAGCGTTTGGGAAGGTGCAAAACAAGCCCTGAATGGAACTGAAGCCCACGTTTGAACCGGGAGCATCCGAACTGCGGGAATGAGCTCCCAAAGGCAGAGGTCCGTATGCAGAGGAGCCTAATTGGGGCGTCTCTATCCCTGAGAGCTCTAGCATAAACACGGCGGTGGGATTGCAAAAGGTTTTCCATCGTGAACATCTTTTTTCAGTTGTTCTTAATTTTGTTAAGATTCTTCCTTTGGGGCTGAACTGTCCTTGGCTGGAACCCAAAAACTTAATTATTTTAGCCTGAGCAAAATCCTTCAGACATGTCTAGGGATTTGGTCTTGTTTTATTTTTGGTAAGAGTAAAAAAAAAAATGCATTTTATAGTACACAAAAGAATCACTTCAACCTTATGCTCTCATGCAGACTAATCTCACAGAAATTAGGATGTTCAAAATCGGCAGATCTAAAGTCTTCATGGGAGAAGGAAAAAAAATCACTCCTTGTGTGAGAGAAAAGTTAATTAAAAATTTTAATAGTGTAGAAAAAAGGTAGGGGTAGGGGTTGGACTTGGAGTCCTGACTTTGCCACTTACAAACTTTAAACAAGTCACTTAATTTCTATGGGTCTCACTTTCTTTCCCTTAATGGGAGGGGCTGCACTAGATTTCATCACTGCTAGCCCAGATTTTGTGGTTCTGTGAGATTATACCAAAGCATGCAATTTTGATTGATGGATTGATTGTACCTGCACATAAAATCTACCCACAGTGACAGCAAATGAATGTTAAGGGTTAGCCTTTTGTCTTGTGCAAGATAGATTTGTTCAGAAAACTCAAAGATAAATTGAACAGACTCTATTAAAGACCCTCTGTAATGTCTCTTTGTGGCTTGGTGGGTTTTCAAAGACTATGCCAGTGGTACCTAAGTTCTCACAGATCCTATCAAGCTAGAAGAACTTTAGGCTTGACAACAGATCTGTAGTCCAAGTCTCATTAAAGTTAGTAAGATTGGCCACCCAAGTGGTGGTTTGGAGAGTAGGATATGGAACACAAAAATCCATGAAACTTTGCTAATACCAGGAGGGGTTGATAACTTCTTCTGTGGATGGAATACTCATACAGATAAGATCTCGGATCTTTCAAAGACTTTAATGAAGATGATTTTTAGGCCTTGTCTTAAGCTGTAGGAACTGAATCAACATGTGAATTTGACCATTTTGGTCATTGGCTTCAGATTACAAGCTCCCAGAGGGCAGTGATGGAGTTTCAACTTTTCTTTCTCCTTGCTAGCACCAAGCACAGTGCATTCTTGTTGCCAAACTGGCATTTCAAACTCAGCATGTCCAAAGAGAAATTAATCGTTTTACCTCTTAAACCTGTGCTTTCTCCAGACTTCTTTATTTCTGTTGGAGAAGCTATCATCCTTTCAAGTAGGTTCATAACCATGGAGGAGTCATATGTGACTCTTTCCTCTCCTTTTCCCTCTCAACCCACATATCAAATCATTTGCCAAGTATAATTCATTTTATATACATAAAAGCTTTCTCACCTGTCCCTTTCTCTCATATTCCCACCTCCCTAGTACAAACCATTTCTCATTTGAACTAGCATAATAGTTTCCTAATTGAGGCAGCTAGGTGGTGAAGTAGATGGAGCATTGGGCCTGCCTGAAGACAATACCTGAGTTCAAATCCAACCTCAGACACTAACTAGCTATGTGAACTTGAGCAAATCTTTTTAATCTGTCTCAGTTTCTTCAACTGTAAAATAGGGATAATAATAACACTCACTTCACAGGGTTGCTGTAAGTAAGGATCAAATGAGATAATATTTGTAAAGTGTCTGGCAATAGTAGTTTCTATGTAAGTACTATTTATTATTATTATTAATTGATGCCCTGCTTCTAATCTCTCCCTCTCCAAAGCATCTTTGACATAGATGCCAAAGTCATCTTCCTAAGGCACAAATCTAACTTCATTACTCCCCTCCTGAAAAAATTCCACTGCTTTCCTATTGCCTAAAGAAAAAAAAAATACAAACTACTACCCAAACTAGCATTTTGCGTCCCTTCACAATTTGGCTCCAGTCTACCCTCCCAGCCTCATTATATATTATTTCCCTTCTCATATTTTCCAATCTGACCAAAATTACTTCCATGTTGTTTCTTACACGTGACACTATGTCGCCCATATCCAGGTCTTTTCGATATACTCCCTTCTCATCTCTGCCTTCAAATTGCTTACTACATGATCCACCCCAAGCTTCCATGTTGTTACCAGGAATGGTGACTGAACATGCTCCAAAAAGGGGTGGGGGGGGGAAGGAGAGAAAGAAGGGCACTTCCTACATATATTTAAATAATATATATATACACAAAATAAATGCCAGATGATTAGGGGGAGAGAATCAGGAAGGTTTCATTTAGACAGTGTTGCTTTAGCTTAGTTTTGATGGAATATCATTCTCCCAGTTATAAGAGAGATTATAAGGAAAGAACTGTATTCCAGGGCCTTTGCAAAAGCATAAAGAGAGAAGGTGGTAAAGAGGCAGTAGGTTCTATACCCTAGTCTATTCTACCACTAGTTGTATTACCTTACACAAGACACTTCATTCTGCACTTCAGTTTTCTCACTTGAAGACCTTTTGCCCTTCCTTCCTGGGATATTCATGGTTGATGTTTTAGACAAGTACGAGGAAGCTTAGGATGGACCTGCTTCCAAGCAACATAAGGGATACTTCCCCCACTCACCACTTCAGAGCATAGACGGATGTCCTCTGAATGTTTCCCGATAGTATATTGGGTGGTAATGAAAAGTCTTTCAATTGGTTGCTGAACCAGACCTCTATGGGTGTACTAAATAGGGTGATCCCTATCCCTCAGCTTCTCTTTCCTTGTGGTTTTTGAGAGAGGTGCATTGCTTTGAGCTGCCAGGTTGGGGAGAAGGGGAAGAGGGGAATAGCAAGGAAATGGACGCTTCTCCAGAC